TTCATTTTCTGAGCAGCTGCGATTGCTGGATACTATGCTAGGTAAACTACAAAGTTAAATCAGATATATGATCATTGCTCTGAGTTAACTGCTAGTGAGTTCACTGTCTAAAAAACTGGAATTATAATCCAGACATTCTAAAGTATTCTGCATTTGTAGTTCAATCCCATAATAAAAAATGACCTGAGTTATTGACAGTCAAGTAATTGATGTGCCTTCAAAGGTGATTTTGTTATTCAATGACAACACCAAATCTCCAGCTTCTGTTTCTTTTCTCTTTGTTGATACCAACTCTGTGTTTTGTGTTTGGTGTGCTTTAGATGGGAAAACAAAGAAATGAGTCTCTGTATAAATGAATTCAACCTTGTCCTTTACCGCAGAGGAAATTCAAATGTCACAGTCGTGAATGTGTGTGTGTGTATGTGTACATCTCTATCTCAAGCAAACTAGAACTGAACTTGCAAGGCTTTATGTCACCCTGAAGCCCATCCCACTAAGTATTCCAATGCCTGATGTGGTTCTACTCTAGGATGCTACAAAGCTGGAGCCAGCTGGAGGGGGCCTGTATGGTCTTAGTAAAAATTAAAACAAAAAGTATTCTTAAAACTTAGAATGAGAAAAATGACCTTCCCAAGGAGGCACGATTTTTTAAAACAAGTTTTTATGATTTTGACACTTACCAGTACTGGTGGGCTGCTGTGGGTCTTGAGAGGATACAGAGTTTCTCTCCAGAGCATCTGAAGCTGTCTCTTCATCAGTAACTAGGAAAGGGGAAAAACAAAATTCTGCTACTATGGAGAGCAGTTTTACCCACATTGTGCTCAGTAAAAGAGATTGGAGAATATATTTGGCGGCTACCTGCTTGTAGAGCTTGTGCAGAAACCCCAGAACTGTGTGTTCTGCGGCTCCTGCTCTGGTTTTTGAATCTGTATCCCACTGAGTGTCCATCTGCTCACCTGCCTGGTTTAAAGCACAGCATGCTGGACCTCTGTGTGGTGGCAGTGCTAGGCAAAAGGTGTTCACTGTTTCTATCTGTGTCCTTCTATCCATCAATCAATCCCTCTGTCTGTTTATCTACCCATCCACCTATCTATCTATCTATTAGTTAGACGGCTTTGGAATCAGCCTCAGACTGGGCTGAATTCCAGTGCTGCTATTTACTTGCTCCTGAATGAGCTGGACAAGATAGCAGATCTCTCTAACACTTTTTTTTTTCTTATCTGTAAAATGGAGATAATGACAGCATTTACCTCTTCGAGTGTTTCATGAGAATTAGTAAGTTCATTTATATAACATGTTTAGTACAATGCCTAGCTATTTATTAAGCACAATGCTACATGTTATTGTATAATATTAGTCAATGCTTAGGAATGTTTCCAGAGGGTCAGCTTAGTATAGGTTTTACCAGTCATTGGACAGACCCACATCCGGGAAGCATGTAACAACTACGCCTGTCATTTTACAAATACTAATACTGACATGTCGGGCCAGGCGCAGTGGCTCACACCTGCAATCTCAGCACATTGGTAGGCTGAGGTGGGTGGATCGCCTGAAATCAGGAGTTCAAGACCAGCCTGATCAACATGGTGAAACCCCATCTCTACTAAAAATACAAAAAACTAGCCGGGCATGGTGGTGTGTGTGTTTGTAATCCCAGCTACTTGGGAGGCTGAGGCAAGAAAATTGCTTGAACCTGGGAGGCAGAGGTTGCAGTGAGCGAAGATCGCACCACTGCACTCCAGCCTGGGTGACAGAGCAAGGAGACGCCCTCTCAAAAAAAAAAAAAAAAAAAAAAATACATATATATACACACACACACACACACGTATATGTATATGTATATGTGTGTGTGTATATACATATATATATACTGACACGTCACACGTGGTTCTTTTTTTATAAAATTTGTGAGTGCTTCCTGGTGTTTATTTAATCAAATAATTTTCCATGGTTTTGAAAATGTATCGGTTGATCAAACATTTAAATGTATGAAAAATATAAAAATACCTGAATTGTGTGTAATGGCTCTGAGGAAAGAAAGGATTACTAAGGAAATGTTATAGAGATAGTAGTATAGACTAGAAGGCTAAAATGAACTCTGACCACACAGGTGCCAGAGAAAATTGAAGAAAGAGGAGAACTGCTGGCAATGAAAAGAGGGAAAACCTGGAATGCTAGTCAAATAGAAGTACTGGGAACAAATTTTAAGAAGAATATGGGGCCGGGCACAGTGGCTCATGCCGTAATCCCAGTACTGTGGGAGGCCGAGGCAGGCACATTGCTTAAGCCCGGGAGTTTGAGACCAGCCTGGGCAACATGGCAAGACTCCATCTCTACAAAAAATTAGCTGGGCATGGTGGTGCACCCCTGTAGTTCCAGCTACTCAGGAGGATCATCTGAGCCCAGAGAGGTCAAGGCTGCAATGAGCTGTGATCACACCATTGCACTCCAGCCTGCGTGACAGAGTGAGACCTTGTCTCAAAATTTTAAAAAAGAAGAACATCACTGGGGACATATAGAATAAAATTTATCAATAGTGATTAAAATCTTCTAACATAGTATATACTATGTGAATTCAGAAAATTATGTTTATGTACAAAACAAGTTTTATCTATGCATATTTAAAACTAGGTTCTGTACTTGCTTTGATTTATCCTGTTAATTAACGAGCTAGCAAACTATTGTGTTTAGACTGAATGTTGTTTTGATTAGGTGAATACTGGCACATGATGATCTGCCTCCCTAGTTGGTCAGAATATTGTAGACCTCTGCTATCCAATATGGTATGCACTAGCTCCAACGACTATTTAAATTAAAATTAATTAAAATGAAAATATATTCAAAATTTAGGCCAGACACAGTGGCTCACACCTGTAATCCTAGCACTTTGGGAGGCAAAGGCGGGCAGATCACCTGAGGCCAGGAGTTCGAGACCAGCCTGGCCAATATGGTGAAACCTGACTCTACTAAAACACAAAAATTAGCTGGGCATGGTGGTGGGCGCCTATAATCCCAGCTACTCGGGAGACTGAGGTGGGAGTATTGCTTGAACCTGGGAGGTGGAGGTTGCAGTGAGCTGAGATAGCACCTTTGCACGCCAGTCTGAGCGACAAGAGCAAGACTCCATCTCAAAAAAAAAAAAAAAAAATTACTTTCTCCGTTGCAATAGTCACACTTAAAGTTCGAATTTTGGGCAACTTGTATCCACCAGTGTGAGCCTGACAACCTCCAAATGCTTAAAGACTTCTGATGAGATCAATGATGATATTAATGAATGTGATTCTGATGCTGAAATGTCAACATTTGAAAGTTCTGTAGAACTTAGTGAATCAGTATTTTCCAAATGACTAACACATAATGTTAGAAAAATCATGCCTGGGTGGAAGTTCTATTCAAAGTGCAAGACAGTTCAGTGGATTTTAATACAACAGTATGAAAAGTTAATTGACATGGGCCCAGCGACTAATCTTTAAGAAACTACTACTTGTTAAGTTTTGGTGTAACGTCAAAGAGGAACATCCACAATTATCTGAACCAGCTATTAAAATACTCTACCCTTTTCCAATTATAAATTTACATGAGATTAAATTTTTATGTCTTTATTTAAAGCAAAATAACATTTTGGAAGAGATTGAATGCAAAAGTTACAAGAACCTAATTGTTTTCCATTAAGCCAGACATTAAAGAGATTTTCAAAATGTAAAAAAAATGACATTTTTCACACTAATCTTTTCAGTTTACAAAATATGCCTTTTTTTTTTCATTAAAATATGTCATTTCTAGGCCAGGTGCAGTGGCTCACGCCTGTAATCTCAGCACTTTGGGAGGCCAAGGCAGGTGGATCACCTGAGGTCAGGAGTTCAAGATCAGCCTGGTCAACATGGCAAACCCCATCTCTACTAAAAATACAAAAAAAATTGGCCAGGTGTGGTAGCGCAATGCCAGCTACTCAGGAGGCTGAGGCAGAAGAATCACTGGAACCCAGGAGGCGAAAGTTGCAGTGAGCTGAGATCGGGCCACTGTACTTATCTCAAAAAATAAGTTCACTCCATCTCAAAAAATAAAATAAAACAAATATGCCATTTCTGTTAACATGTAGTGGATTTATTATTTTAAAATAAATGTACAGATACATATTTTTTAAATTTCTCAGTTTGAATTTCTAGTAGGTAAATATTGACAGACATCACCTACATAAGTAAAAGTTCTTTGGGGTTCGCAATTATTTTTAAGAGTGTAGAGATGTCCTGAAATCCAAAAGTTTGAGAACTGTTTTTCAAATATTTAAAAAATCCTGTCCCCAGTTAAGTAATAGAAAACCAAGATTCCTCATTTTAAATACTAACAAGATGAAACAAACCAGGTGCAGTAGCTCATGCCTCTAATCCCAGTGCTTTGGGTGGCCGAGGAGGGAGGATAGCTTAAGCCCAGGAGCTCAGACCAGCCTGGGCACCATAATGAGATTCTGTCTCTATAAAAAAACTTTAAAATTAACCAGGTGTGGTGTATGCACCTGTAGTCCCAGCTACTCAGGAGACTGAGGTGGGAGGATCACTTAAGCCCGGGAGGTAGAAGCTGCAGTGAGCTGTGATTGCACCACCGCACTCCAGCCTGGGCTACAGAAGGAGACCTTGTCTCAAAAAAAAAAAAAAAAAAAGAAAGAAAGAAAGAAAGAAAAGAAAAGAAAAGGAAAAAGAGTCAGGTGTGGTGGTTCATGCTTGTAATCCCAACACTTTGGGAAGGAGGCAGAGGTTGGGGGATCGCTTGAGCTCAAGAATTCAAGACCAGCCTGAGTAACATGGTGAAACCCCATATACAAAAAATATGCAAATTACGGGGTGTGGGCGTGGTGGCTCATGCCTGTGCTCCCAGCCACTCTGGAGGCTGAGGCAGGAGGATCAACTTGAGCCTGGGAGGCAGAGGTTACAACAAGCCAAGATTGTGTCACTGCCTTCCAGCCTGGGCAACAGAGTGAGACCATCTCAAAAAAGAAAGAAATAAATGATAATTCTGAAATCTGGGTGAGGTGGCTCATGCCTGTAGTTCCAGCACTTTGGGAGGCCAAGGAGGGAGAATTGCTTGAGACCAGGAGTTTTGAGACCAACCTGAGCAACATAGGGAGACCCTGTCTCAACAAAAAATTAAAAATTAGCCAGATGTAGTGGTGCATGCCTGTAGTCCTAGCAACTTGGGGGGCTGATTGTGAACCAGGAAGGTTGAGGCTGCAGTGAGCCATCATCACACCACTGCACTCCAGCTTAAGTGATAGAGTGAGACCCTGTCTCAAAAAACAAAACAAAACAAAAAACCAAAGATAGCCTATTCAAAAATCTATTCCTGTTGCTCTGCTCTCTTTCTCCAAGCATCACACTGTGGCTTTTTCAGAGGAAGGCACTTCTTTCCTCAGGACCACTCTAGTCCTGGTGCTGGCATGCCTCTCACTTTCCCCAGGTCCCTCTGTGCAGAGCATAGGAATGAAAGGGGTCAGAACTCTTATGTGTAAATGTGTTTTAAAGCATCCTCGGCTAGTAATATTTTTTTCCTAATTGGGTGAACAAAATGTTTGTAGCATCTGTATGTCAATATAGTAGCAGCTAGCCAAATGGAAAAAACAGTGAACTAATGAAAGCCGTCAATAGCTGATGCTGGCGTTTCTCTTCGAATACTATTTGGAGATCTGGCAGTGAGTACAGCAAATAGATAGATCACAAATAAAAATTAAGTCTTAGCCTATTATTATTATTATTATTGTTAGACAGAGTCTCGCTCTGTTGCCCAGGCTGGAGTGCAGTGGTGTGATCTTAGCTCACTGTAAACTCTGCCTTCCGGATTCAAGCGATTCTTGTGCCTCAGCCTCCCAAGTAGCTGGGATTACAGGCGCCCACAACCATGCCCGGCTAATTTTTTTATTTTTAGTAGAGATGGGGTTTCGCCATGTTGGCCAGGCTGGTCTCGAACTCCTGACCTCAGGTGATCCACCCGACTCAGCCTCCCAAAGTGCTGGGATTACAGGCGTGAGCCATCACGCCTGGCCTTACCCTATTATTAAAAACATCTTTAGCTACAATTTTGAGTCATGTAGAGCTATAGCCATAAGGGAGGAGAACTGCCATTTCCCCCTTCATAGTAATTTTTGTAGATGGCTTGAACAATTGCTGAAAATTAAGAACGCATTTTTTTCCAATATTGTTGGTTCTCCTATTGAAGAATCTAAATGTCTTTAGGAAGCTTTTAGATATAGCCTCATCCCCCACAGGCGCCGTGCTTCAGTTCTACTGCTGGAGGTGGGGGCGTGGGGTGGGGATGACTCACAGCGGGGCGGGGGTGGTTGTTAAGGTTACTGTACAGCTCAGTCTGTGAGTCCATGGGTCTTACAGTGCAGCTTCTGCAATGACTACTTTTGGTTTGGTGAGAAAGTGACCCGTGGAAAGTATGTGGTAGTCAGAGGGGGCCTGTTAACCGCAGCCACAGCCCCCATAGGGCAGTATGGCAGCTTTCCCACAGCGAAGTTCTCCTAAGCAAGCTTGACTTTCAGCATCAGCTTGATAAAAGAGTTTTTCAATAAATGCATTGTCATGCAACAGTTTCCTCTTTCACTAATGTGAGTAATTCCTTATACTTCAGGAATTGATTACACGAAGTACCTTGTAAAACAATGAAACTCAGAGTCCTACTAATTGCAAACTTCTTACAGGACTCATGCATCTTAAAGGATACCTCTTGGCTCAAAGAGTTGTGGACAGTTTTAAAATTATTTCTTGGACTTTTGGGGAAAGAATCACAGAATAGAAGTTCTGAGAATGGAGGCAACTCATCTTCACATTTAATATTGGATATTTAAAATGGTGTTCAACTCAGAATATTAACATGGTTAAACTAAAATCTTCAAAGCAATTATAACAATAAAATAAATCTAAACAGGAATTATGTCTTCATGTAATTGTGTGTTTCATATTGACATAAAATGATATTGACAATTTCAGTTTATTTCAGCTAATATTATCTCCTTCTGGGTCAAGTACAAAGATGTAGTATGATTCATATGATTGCTCCAAAAACACAACAGCAATAAAACTATTTAAAGTCATTATCAAAAAGCAAGCATAACACTATTTGCATATGGCGCTCTGCTAGGCTTTCTGCTTAACTGGGGTTCTTTTGAACATTGGAATAGTTGAAATTCCGTCACTCACCTGGAGAAATTTCAATCAGTACAGGAATTTGCTATTAGGAAGAGCTTTGTTGGCAGTAATCTCACTCTGAAGGACTTTGCTCACTGCATTTAATTTTGTTTGATAGTGTAATATTAAAGTAAATCAAAAATTATTAAAGAGAATCATTAGTTCTTCTTACCCAAATCTTCAAACCGGAAGGGTGCTACTAGTTTTCTCCCTTGCAGGCCTCTGTGCCGGATAATGCAGTCCACTGTTGAATTTTTGCCGTAAGTGTGGATTATGAGAGTGCTGGTAGTATTACATTTCTTCCCATCAGTTTCAAATTCATGGTGGGTTCCACCTGCGTAGCAATTTAAAGAGGTTATGGCTATTTAATGCTAGGTTCTACTAGAGGCCAATGGCCTTGACTTCAGGGCAAACATTAGATTTCTAACCTCATTCTAACCTCAGCCAGCTCCCTTGTATAGGCTTGGCTCTGGTCACAAAGGCAAACAGATGAATGAGAGTAGATGATGGTTTTCTACAAAGTTTTCACTACTGGAAATAAAAAAAATTCAAAGCTTAAGAAGGATAGCTTGATGTTGTTATGAAACACAAAGATCCAAGACCTTATTCCGGTTATATGAATAAGGCGAATTAAAGGGGAAGTCTTATAACGAAGCAGAATTGGCACTGCACTGGGAATCAGATCTAGGTTTAGGTCTTTTCTCTCTAGAACTCCATTTGACCCTCAGTATTCTCAACTGTAAAGGGTCCTTTGTAACTCTAAGAATGTTGATTACAGGCCGGGCGTAGTGGCTCACACCTGTAATCCTAGCACTCTTGGAGGCCGTGGAACACCTGAGATCAGGGGTTGCAGACCTGGCCAACATGGTGAAACCCCACCTCTACTAAAACTACAAAAATTAGCTGGGTGTTGTGGCAGGCGCCTATAATCCCAGCTACTCCAGAAGCTGAGGTAGGAGAATCGTTTCAACCCAGGAGGCAGAGGTTACAGTGAGCCGAGATCGCACCACGGCACTCCAGCCTGGGAGACAGAGCGAGACTCCATCTCAAAAAAAAGAAAAAAAATTGTTCATCACATAGATATCAAAGGTAATGTCTGTTGAAAAGTAAGCAAACTATAAACAGTACCCAGGCATCATAATTAATTAGTTATTCTGTTTCAAAGGCTCAACCTTTAGGTGCTTTATTACAAGAATATTTTTAATCTGTCCTTGTGGGTATGACACAATATAGTACTATACAATATAGGGAAGATCATATCTGTTTCAATTATACGTATTATGTTAAATGTATTTTCAATTTTATATTTGGGGAAAAGTTCAGGCTCAGAGCTATTATACTTCTTTTTTTTTTTTTTGACGGAATTTTGCTCTTGTTACCCAGGCTGGAGTGCAATGGTGTGATTTTTTTGCTCACCCCACTTGCCTCGGCCTCCTGAGTACAAGCATGCGCCACCACACCCGGCTAATTCTGTATTTTTAGTAGAGACAAGGTTTCTCCATCTTGGTCAGGCTGGTCTCGAACTCCTGACCTCAGGTGATCCGCCCACCTCGGCCTCCCAAAGTGCTGGGATTACAGGCGTGAGCCACTGCACCCAGCCTGAGATGTTATACTTCTGTATTTACTTATTTTAGAAAATTTTGTGAAATTTGAAGAAGTCATTACAGTTCACTTTAGATTTTTACCTGTTTTAAACAAAAACATTTTCATTATCTGTGATTAGCCTTTCAAGATTGAGGCATAATATTGATTGGTTGTAAGAATAATTTGTCTGGAAAAGAACTAATAGAATATTAAATGGTGTCTTCTGCCACTAGAGGGTGCCAAAACATTTAAAAATCTCCTGGAAATTTGAGCAGGAAGGAAGACAAAGAAGAGAACCATTTCTCTACTTACCGGACACCTCCACGCCATTCCCAAGTAGCCAGGTTATCTGCGGAGGGGGCTTGCTTCTCATCGCGGAGCACATGAGTACAACATGTTCTTCTCCATTTTGCTTTCTGATAACTGAAGCTTCCAGGATTGGCTTGAAAGGAGTTGCTAGAAGAAAATGGATTTTTCTGTGTTTAATTAGGTATGAGTCTGCATATCTCAACATAGCACAGAGCCTAATAATCTGTAGGTGATTGTTGTAGGGTATACTCTAATTAATGGGGCTTTTTTTTTTTTTAAGACAGAGTCTCCCTCTGTTGCCCACGCTGGAGTGTAGTGGCAAGATCTCAGCTCACTGCAACCCCCACCTCCCAGGTTCACGCAATTCTCCTGCCTCAGCCTCCTAAGTAGCTGAGATTACAGGCGCCTACCACCATACCCAGCTAATTTTTGTGTTTTTCGTAGAGACGGGATTTCTCCATGTTGGCTGAGCTGGTCTCCAGCTCCCGACCTCAAGTGATCCGCCCACCTCCACCTCCCAAAGTGCTGGGATTACAAGCGTGAGCCACTGTGCCCGGCCCATGTTTTTAACTTAATCTGTTCCAGAATACAGCCATGTTAAAGGGCTTTTATGTGCTTGCAAAGCAACTTTGGCTGAAGCCAGAATGTGTATTACTCAGTGTGTTGTTAGTCTCTGAAAATTCCCAAACAAGCAATGTAGCAACAATTCTTAAAATGTGATATATGAGGCCGGGCGAGTTGACTCACGCCTGTAATCCCAGCACTTTGGGAGGCCGAGGCAGGCGGATCACGAGGTCAGGAGATCGAGACCATCCTGGCCAATCAACATGGTGAAACCCCCATCTCTACTAAAAATACAAAAATTAGCTGGGCATAGTGGCGCACACCTATAATCCCAGCTACTCGGGAGGCTGAGGCAGGAGAATCGCTTGAACCTGGGAAGGGGAGGTTGCAGTGAGCCGAGATCGCGCCACTGTACTCCAGCCCGGGCAACAGAGCGAGACTCCATCTCAAAAAAAAAAAAAAAAAAAAAAAAGATGCGTTTATCTTATAAAGGGCACGTTCGTCTTTTTCTTTATACCTCTGTCTTGGAAATACTTTTTAGTTAGGCTTGCTTCTTCCTCTTTCCCATTCTACTTTCACTTCGGTCCAGAACTGAACTCTTCCCCGTTTACTTAACTCACCCGCCCATCTGCCATCAAGACCTCGTAAAGGCACTTCTTAGCTCCAAATATACATTAGATGTGTTACTTGTTGGCAATACGAAGATGAAAAAGATATGATTCAAGGAGCTAATAGTCTGGTGGTAGCTTCAGCCCCTAAACTGTTAATGAAAAGATTATGTGTTGAGGGCAATGACAGAGTATGCATGGGGTGTTAAGAGAGCCCAGAAGGGCACACAAGCAGCCAAGCCAGGATGTGTGCTCCCTTACAAAAAGACAACGTTGAGCTGAGTCACGGTGGTTCTCAAAACCCCCTCGAGAGCCACTCCTTCCCAGCTACTTTCCCATCATGCTCTTACCTATGGCAGGCACCACACTGCAGTAATTCAACAAGAGAAGTCTAAGACATTCATTTGTGTGATATGTGGGATGATGTTACTCAGAGATCAATAAAAAGCAATGTTTTTAATCGATCTGCTCTGCCACAAAAGACAAAACGAGTAAGGATAGTAAGACACATACTGGACACAGCTGATCATCTGTAGAACTGAGTAAGTCCTAGGCAATTAGGAGGCTGTCACTTCTTATCTGCACCTCCTAATCCCACCCTCCTACAGAAAAGAGGAATTGTTTGGCAGAGAGGATTTGAGCAGATCAAGCAGTGCAGCTACATCTGAATTCATTCTATCTTAGGATTTGCTGTCACGAGGTTCCACTTCATTTGCATACATGTTTTCCTTCTCGAGCTGGTGCGCAAATTCCTTATGGGCAGAGATCGTGCCTAATTCATCTTTGGTTCCCTAGAGCCTCACATGGTGCCTGGCACATAGTTGCAGCTCATCAGATATTAATTTTCTTTTCTTTTAGTTCCCTGGAGAGAAAATTTAGTTGCTGTCAAAGACAAATTTCACAAGTTCACAGTTCAGTCTAGGGCTTGCTTCTCGAAATGCTCTCTTCTGTTTCCTTTCAATACAAGATGGCAGAGGTGTCCCGGGCAATGCCTCGCTCTAGGCAACATTTTTAAACTAAAAGGTTCAGTTTAAAAATGACGTATCGTGTTCCTATCCATATTGCTCCCCTACTGAGTTTACTTGCAAGTACCTACCCAGCACAATCACTTTCACTTCCTTTGTGCTCACAGAGTCACTGTAATGTAAGCACTTGTACACGCCTTCGTCTTGCAGGGTTATGTTAGACACACTGATGGAGAGCTGATTGGCTGAGTGATGAAGAAGCTGGTATCTGGAATTTTTAAAAGCTGTACAAGAGGGAAATAGAACTGTTATGAGGAAAGGTATCTGATGGATCCTTGGTCTCTACCCACTAGATACCAGAAGCACCACCCACTTTCTACATTTGGCACAATCAAAACTATCTCCAGACGTTGTCCAGTGTCCACTGGAAGGCAAGATCATTCCAGGTGGGGACCCACTAAGCTAGATCAAGCCATTCTGCTGCAGAAACCCGAGAGTCCCTCCTCTCCTAGTTTACCAAAACCAGAAACAAAACAGCAAAAAGCATTGTGTAACAGAATTATCTCTATTTAAAATGTTTTTCTCTCAGAACTTTTGACAGTTAGTATTTACTTCTACTGGAATCTAGTATTACTAGTTGATTTAGCTTGAAATAGCATATTTCTTTATGTTAACACATCAGTATCTAATAATGCTTTTAAAGCATAACAATTTTTTTTTTTTTTTTTTTAGAGACAGAGTCCTGCTCTGTTGCCCAGGCTGGAGTGCAGTGGCACTATCTCGGCTCACTGCAACTGTCATATCCTGGGTTCAAGTGATTCTCCTGCCTCAGCCTCCCCCAGTAGCTGGGATTACAGGAGTGCTCCACCACGCTCAGCTAATTTTTTTGTATTTTTGGTAGAGACAGGGTTTCACCTTGTTGGCCAGGCTGGTCTTGAACTCCTGACCTCAAAATGATCTCCCCGCCTCGGTCTCCCAAAGTGCTGGGATTACAGGCATGAGCCACCACGCCCAGCCAGCATGATATGTTTTAAGTGGCTCTGCTTTGTAAATAAGATTGAAATGTGTTTTAGACTTTTCCAAGTATTTGGGAGTTAGCAATATTAAATGGAGGTATAAAATGATCTAGGGTTTAGTAAAACCCTGCCTAATGTCAAAGAGATGAACCCAAGAGATTTTTAAGAGTCTTTTTCCATCTCAAGACATCTTGTACTTTCTTCATGTGTGTTTGTGAAGAGAGAAATGACTGTCCTCATTTCCACATTAATACATACTGTCTGTTTCTATTGCTTAAAAATCTTGATTTTGTGTTAAGACCAACAGGAGAAGCACAGCTATCTGGAAGGGAGCTTTGTAATGTGCCTTTGGATTGCTCAGATGGAAAATGAAGCAGCTGGCTTCCTATGTGGGGTGGTGGTGGTGGCTGCATGAGGACCGAGCTCCCAGTCAGTTGGCTGCCTGTCTGTCATTGTGCTGTGGTTGTGGGATGGTTACTGAGAGTGAAAAAGTGATGTGAGTGTGGAGTGGGGACATGGAAATGTGCTTTGTAATTTGAACCCCCTTTAACAACCATTCTAGTGGGGTTTCCATTTCACAGTTCCTGCCCCCAGCAGGCCACCGCGTCTATAATAACAGGCTTTGGAGGCATGATTCACGTGTAACAGTAGGTGGGCTGAGTTCACCCCTTGGGTGACTCATGCAGGCTTTCTGTCCCACCAACCTGTCCGGCTGGAAAATCCCTCAGGTTGAGGTCTGGTGGCATTTTTCTTTCTTTCTTTCACTTACCAGGATACTCATTTAAAAAAATGGTGAACCCTGAGGGGCTCAGCCACTGGAGGGAGGAGGACTTCCTCAGAGAAGTGACACACTTTAGAGTGAGCGTCTGGCCTTCCTCCACGGTGACGGTTTCTGTGTGGTTAGTCAGAGAGGCCTCTGGGGAGGAAGAGAAATGAGGATGGTCAGGCCTGGGGTGGCCACACTGTCTCAGGGATTTTGTCTCGTTCATTCGTTCAATCATGCATTATCTATTTCTTCTAGAAACCAAAAAATAAGCAAATACAAACAAAATGGGAGGGGAGAGGCAAGAACTGAGAGCAGGAGCAGTAATGACATCTCTTGAAGAAAGGGACCCTGGAACCAGGTCTGAAGGAAGGGGTAGGTTTTTGACGAAAGAAAGGGAAGGTCGAACTACAGTTCAACCAGTGTTGGGCACTTGCTCTGCCATATGCCAGGAACTGTGCCACGCCATTTACCTGTATTGAATTTAATTTTTTTTTTTTTTTTTTTCTCGCTCTGTTGCCCAGGCTAGAGTACAGTGGTGTGATCTTGGCTCACTCACTACCTCCTCCGCCTCCTGGGTTCAAGCAATTCTTGTGCCTCAGCCTCCTGAGTAGCTGGGATTACAGACACGTACCACCACGCCTGGCTAGTTTTTGTGTTTTTAGTAGAGACGTGGTTTTACCACGTTGGCCGGGCTGGTCTCAAACCCCTGACCTCAAGTGATCTGCCCGCCTCGGCCTCTCAAAGTGCTGGGATTACAGATGTGAGCCACTGTGCCTGGCTGGAATTTAATTTTCAAACTAATCCCAGAAAGGAAGAATTGTGCTCACTTTTACAGACCAGGGAATAGAGGCTCAAGGTCACAGAGGTCATGGAGCTGGGATCTGTACCCAGGGCTGTGGATGGCAAAGGCCATGCTTATGTAACCACATCAGCCTATCTAAGCCACAAGACCCCAGAAAATGCAACCTTTCTGGCCTCAGCTTATAAAAGAGCATCTAGTACCTTCAAGTTGTGTGTCTAGGATTCTAAGAAAGAATGTTGTAATCATGGTGCTCTGGTGAACTGCGGAGTTCAGGGCAAGTAGCTAAGTCCCACCTGTCCGAGAGCTTGTACACCAGAGGGAGAATGTCCTAAGATTTCATTCAATTCAGTATTCCACAGCCGAGCTTTCTGCAGACAAACATGAGTCTAATTTCTCCGAATCACAACCCCCAGAGAATGATGAACAATTGGTTCTAAGTAGCTCACATTTATCTCCCCAAAAAAGAAATTGATGGAAAAATAAACTGGCATTCCTACTGATTTGGCATGCTTATTGCCATTCATTATGCCTTCATATTTTAAATGAAATTAGTTTTCCTGAGGAAAAGGCAATTCTTATCAATGAAGGTATAAAACACTTTTATAAACAGAAGAATACCATGGGGCTATAAATTATGAATAGCAAATGTAACAAGTTTTACTGCATCATCTTAAACCTTAACAACAACAACAAAAAAGAAACCAGGAGAGTTTATTTTCTTGTGATAAATTTCAAGTGTTAGGAAAAGTACTTTGGAGAGCTCTGGGAATTAATTGGCGTCTACTTTTTTGTTTGTTCCATTCCTAGGTCATTAATTTGAATCTAGCCTCTAGCAGAAATAACCCAGAATTATTGTATTGTGTTCCTGTAAGCTTTCATGGGAAACTGTTTGCTGAAGTTCTAATGGAAAAACACCCATATCATCCACCAATACCAAAATGAACAACAAGGAGGCAATAAAAAGAGATCTGTGCTTTCCAAAAAAAGCATTGGGGCATAAGGCCAGAATTCTGCTTAGGTTTGGCCATTTGGAAATATTCTCCTCTGTGACATCAATCCATAATTGAGTCATAAGGATATTAATAGAGAATGACAATAGAATTTCTTCTAAGGGATTTTTGCTGATAGTAAAGGTTTAAGAAGCCATTAAGTCCCTATTTTGTGTCCTCATGACATCCATATTAAGAAGGTAGGAAAGCCAATGGTCCTCCACCTTGGCAGTACATTAGACTCACTGAGGGAGTTTGTGTCCTGGCCTCATTCACTACTAATTAACTCGGAGTTCTTGGTGGGGCCCACACATCGGTTCTTCTGACCCCAGGCCTAAGTGTTCAGAGCATCCTGTTCCCAGAGCCCACATTTGCAGTGTAATGAATAAAATTCCAGAGCTCTGTGGCTGCTCCTCAGATACTTAGGACCAACTCTCTGCTGCTGAAAAACCACATGGAACAGGAAGATGAGTATCAATCTCACTTTCAAAGACTTCCAGAAGACATTCTACCGTACCACTGTGTCCAAGGCCTTATGCCCTTAGTCGGACTGGGTCTTCCGAAGATAAATGTCTTTTCCATAGCATGGTCAAATAATGAAAGAAACTATGCCTTTAGTTTCATTAGCATTTCTTCACCACTTCCCAACAGCCACATGTGAATATAGTGTAGTTTGTCAATGTCCCTCCAAAAATATGTCTCTTTGCGTGGGACAGGGGACTCATGTGTCATCAGAGCTGGCGAGAGCATAGGGGGACATTCACTTGCATCACCATCCACCCTCTGGACTTCCTTGTTCTATTAAGCCCAGGGTTTCACCCTTGAGCTGTAACATGTCACTAGGCTCCTGTTGAGGCAGTCACCCAAAACACCCAGAACTTCTTCAGAGAATTTGTGTCACATCACGTCTCCCTATCCTGTGTTGATGATGCATTTCATTTTGGAACCAAAGTTCAGATTTCATATTCTCCCTCATGAGTCTTATTTGGTAAGTTTGGAGTGAGGGTTCAAGTTTTCTGAGAACATTCTTGCTCTTGATTGTCTTATCTGTCAATAGACCCTTAGGCTTTGTACCATCTGAACCTGTTGCAGAGAGGAGCTGTTTATAATCATCTCTGCGTCCCTAACCTGGGTGGCATGGGATGCAGTGGTAACACACACACACGAGCCAAATTGACTGGGTTGGAATCCTGGCTCCTCCACTACCAACAGCACAAACTTGGGCAATTTATGTGTATGAGTTTTCTTACCATAAAAATAGGAAAAACAATAGTATTCTTCTCATAGAGTCATTGAGAAAATTAAAAAAAAAATGTAAAGAATCTAGTATAGTACTTAGTCCAAGGTAAGCATGACATGCTGCTTTTACTTGGTATATAGTGCCTAATAATTATTTGAAGAGCTGAGCTGACTCTTGCTTTATAAAGAAAAGTGGAAAGAGTCAGTGTCAAAAGCCAAAGCCTTGTAGCTCTGTAGCTCTTCACTAGGGATCTCCTTCCCCAGTGTTATGGGACTATTTATTATTAAACATTCTAAGGTCCTAGTAGACATTAAGGAAGAAGCAGTTCCAGTCGCAGTAAACCTAAATGGGAACAGTTCAGGAGGATTAAAGATTTTGAGGAGCAAACAGTGATCATGAGGTCTTTTTATTTTGGATCTTAGATTCCAACCAAGGGTGTAGTTAATCATACCACTCAGTTCATGGTACACAATCATTATTTGATGAAAAGACAGAGACAGACAGACAGACAGGCAGAGGTGTTAGAACTCTGTGAAATAATAAAATAATGACTAGGTGCGGTGGCTCAGGCCTGTAATCCCAGTACTTTGGGAGGCCGAAGTGAGCAGATCACCTTAGGTCAGGAGTTAGAGACCAGTCTGACCAACATGGTGAAAACTGTCTCTACTAAAAATACAAAATTAGCCTGGCGTGGTGGCAGGCACCTGTAATCCCAGCTACTCGGGAGGCTGGGGCAAAAGAATCACTTGAACCCGGGAGGCGGAGGTTGCAGTGAGCCGAGTTCGTGCCATTGCACTCCAGCCCGTTGCACTCCATCTCAAAATTAAATTAAACTAAATTAAATAATAACATGTTTTCTCACTTCTCTCCTCTCTTCATCACATAAATTGTTTGCTATTGAAACACTAACTTATTTGCATATGTGTTTGTCAATGTCATCCCCAAGTCACATCTACTTGCTTTTAGATCCTGCATACTTGGCCTACCCTCCATCACTGTGAATGGAGTGGGTACCTGGTATCTCCACTTGGGCACCAGGTTCCATCCCATTTATTTACTCTAGGAATTCCCTTCTGTGTTGCTCCATCTTTCAAAAGATGATTTGGTACAAAAATAAATCTACCTTCATTGTTTTTTTTCTCTAATTGTTTTTTTCTTTGGCTGGATGTGGTGGCTCACGCCTATAATCTCAGTGCTTTGGGAGGCCAAGGTGGGAGGATCACTTGAGGCCAGGAGTTTGAGACCAGCCTGCGAAACATAATAAGACTTTGTCTCTACAAAACATTAAGAAAAAAAAAAAAAAACCTGTCATTCTCATCAGCACACGAATATATACTATTTCTCCCATATTAAAATGCATAAACAAAATGATGTCACAGTTCCTTCCAGCTACTACTCTATACTCCCCTATGCCCCTCTTTTGTTTTTTTTTTGAGACAGATTCTCGTTCTGTCACCCAGGCTGCAGTGCAGTAACATGATCTCAGCTCACTGCAACCTCCACCTCCTGGGTTCAAGCAATTCTCCTACCTCAGCCTCCCGAGTACCTGGGACTGCAGGCATCTGCCAGCACGTCTGGCTAATTTTTGTATTTTTAGTATAGAGGTGGAGTTTTACCATGTTGTCCTGGTCTTGAACTCCTGTCCTAAAGTGATCCACCCGCCTCTGCCTCCCAAAGTGTTGGCACTACAGGCATGAGCCACATGCCCTGCCTTCCCTCTCTTTTATTGAAACATTTTTCTAAAGAACTATCTATACTTGTTTATCCCACTCTTTGTTTTCTGACCAGGTTTTCAACTCCACTACTTCGTTGAAATAGCTCTTTGTCAAGGTTGCCAAAGACCTTCACATTGCTCAAACCAATGCTTCATTCTCAGACCATATCTTATTCAATCTATGGTGTGCCTTTGCCATAAATGATCACTCTCTGCTCCTTAAATCAGTGTCTTTACTTGGTTCCCTAGATGTCAGTCTCTTTGACTCCCCTCCTAACTCACTGGCTGCTGCTGCTCCTCAGCTCCATTTCCAGGTTCTTCTCATCAATCTGCCCTCCACACAACAGAGGTCAGATCCTGGATAGACTCTCTATACTCACTCCGTAGGTCATCTCATCTGGCCTC